GAGTCACCTTGCCGAGCAACCTGAAAAGAGTTGACTTTCGGACGTCACTTCAACAGAAGCCTTGATCGAGTGACCTTGCCGAGCAACTTGCAAAACTTGACTTTCGGAGATTTTTCGACCAAAGCCTTGATGGAGTGACCTTACCAAGCAACTTGCACAGCTTGACTTTTGGTGATAAGTTCAACCAAAATCTCGAACAAATGACATTGCCAAACAGTTTGCGAAGTCTCGCTGTTGGTGTGGATTTCAACCAAAGTCTCGAACAAGTGATCTTGCCTAGCAGTCTGCAAAGCTTGACTTTTGGGCTGCATTTTAATCAAAGCCTTGATCGAGTGACCTTGCCAAGCAACTTACAGAGCTTGGCCTTTGGTGCCTTGTTCAACCGAAGCCTTGATCGAGTGACCCTGCCAACCAATTTACACATATTGACTTTTGGTGATGAGTTCAACCAAAGTCTGGAACAAATGACACTGCCAAACAGTTTGCGATGTCTCACTTTTGGTAGGCATTTCAGCCAAACTCTCGAACAAGTGATCTTGCCTAGCGGTCTACAAAGCTTGGCTTTCGGTGCTCATTTTGACCAAAGCCTTGATCGAGTGACCTTGCCGAGCAACTTAAAGAGCTTGACTTTGGGTAGGGAGTTTAACCAAAGCCTCTACCGAGTGGCAATTCCAAACAGTTTGCACACCTTGACGCTTGGTCGTCACTTCGCTCAATGTCTTGAAGGAGTGACCTTGCCAGTAGGTGTTCGTAATCTTGTTTGCGGTTCTATATCTGTGAGTGTATCCTGATTTTCGGTGTTTGCCAGCGAGTATTGATGTCCACACCCGTGGCAGATCCGCCAAGTGATCATCCAATTCATTGCATTTTCGTGATAGCTACTATGAATGCCCGCGTCCGTGAAAAAGATTATATCGGCAGTTGTGCTCAAAGGGTGATTGTAAATAATAATGATTCATCAAAGTAGGGGTTCGTTTGCGGAGCCTCAATTGTTTAGAGTCTTTAGAGTCTACCCTTTTATCCCATGAAATAAAGGACTGAGCGTTTCAGAAACGTCACTCCGCTCCGTGTTTTCACTGCTGCAGAAAATCGCTTTGGGAGGAAGATGCAAGATGTTAACCACAAGGACCAGCAACTCAGCAACGTCTCACGGTAGATGAATGATGTTCCCATGGGGGGGTTCGGTCTATATGTCAATGGGAATTTCGGGATCCTAAAATGGAGGTACGTTAGTACCATATTTCTGGCCATATGAATTGTGGTGATATTCACTGAAATTAAGGCCTGAAAATAGGCCTTATGTGAGGCCCCCGTTCGATAGCTAAGTTGGTGAACATAAGTCCAATTTCACGATGGTTTACGGTATTTATATGTATTTATAACGAACTAGTTACTGGGGCTTTTGTTAACCAACGTTCACATCACGTTTGGGGGGCCTTATATATGGAATCGGTACCTCCATTTTAGGATTCCCGGATTCCCATGGGATGACCACCATGACGAAGCCAAGTCCAAGAGCTTCCGCTGGTTAAAGTGGTGAAAAACCACCATGCTTGGTTACCCTCTGGTAAACGTTTACATAACTAACTGGAAAATCACCATTTTTATTAATGGCTAAATCAACTATTTCGACTGGGCCATGTTCCAGTTCGCTTTTTGGATGTTTACCAGGCCGGGTAAATCCCGAAAGCCATCAGACATTGTGAAAAATCACCTGTTTTTCAAAGAAACAGTGGGATATATCATGATATATATTCCATAAAAATCCCATTGGGTGAGTAATACCATATAACTGGTGAAAAGGACGTTGAATACATTAAGTTATATATAGTTCTTGTAAAATCCTAAATTCCCAGAATTGAAGGAACAAATGACAAGAATGACATTTGTTTCCTGGTTTAAAAAAAAACACAAACTATGATTTCCCGTTTCACTTTCCTTAACAAAATCAACCCAACATTTTCAGGTAGCGAACCCATTTTTCATGCTTCAAGTCACACAGATCTCTTGGAAAAACCACCACTTTTTCATGGTGAACCCCTGGTGGTTTTTCTGGAACAACTCCTTCCGCTTGGCACTGCGGCAGGTTGGTGACCTAGTGGGTGTGGTGGTCACTTTTCAGGGCGAGCTGCAGGCGCGTCGACTTCCGGCACCTGCGGCGGAACCTTTCCAGGATGCACGGTCGAGCGGAATGTGAATTCAATGTAGCTATGGTGGGATGATTTTAGCTACAGTAGCTATAATTTTAGTTATTTTTCTGTACTATTTTAGCTATTTAATGAGATATGAATGTGATTTTTCTGGAATTATTTTTAGATTCTATGAGCTATAGTTGTGGTTGCATACTTTGGGGTAAACATACAAGGTGTGGAAAAGCCATGTATGTGAATTTAAAGGAGGTTTAACTACCATTAAAAAATATGTATTGAACCGCAAAGACGTGGCATTGACACATCAAAAACTGGGATTTTATCCGGGGAAAAATGGTGAAGGTTGCAATGAGCCAAAAAGAAACATCTTGCAACATGAATGTTGTATGAACTTATATAATGTTACAATATGTTACAATATGTTACAATGTGTTACAAAATATGTTACAAAATATGTTACAAAATATGTTACAATATCTTACAATATCTTACAATATGTTACAATTTGTTGATAAACATGTTGATAAATTGTACCTAAGATAATGGTTTGTTCATGGCAAATCATGCTGAAAATGTCGCAGCTCTCTAGTTTAGGAAAATTAGAGTACAAAATGATGCCCACCAAATAGCTCAGGTGACGCACATAATTTGGTTAACTAGGGTTTATGTTTACAGCTAGTTATATAATGGGGGATATAAACCACTTATGACTGGGGGGTCCCCACCATGCAACTTGCCCAAATTATTGCTTTTTCTCCAGCATTCATGGGGAATCTTTTGGAAATAATGCCATAGACCCAATTCGAAGATTAATAGATCCGATATTAATCCCATTTTTTAATAGGGGAGTATTTGATAATCTGATAGCCGCTCAGGAAATCCAAGTGAAAAAAATGGGCGGGCGACGTCACTATTCATGATGAGTTTTTTTTGGGGGGGAACCAACCCGATATCAGCTTAATTAAGATTGGTGAATTACCCTCCCGTGTCATCAATGGTTGATTTTGCTGGAAAATCCACCATGATTTTCGATGATTTTCGCACTCAAACCTGAAAAAACCTCCATTTAGTTTGGGGATTTCCCAGCTATGTTTGGTGACACCGGATGGACAGATGATGAATTGCCATTTTTTTGCCATCCGTGCTGGATCGTTGGTGCCAGAAAATGGGTCAAGTTTTAGACAATAAGTCAATGGCCAGTCCAGGATCCTAGATTGGAGGTACCTACCATATATAAGGCCTATATAAGGCCTATGTAAGTGAATATCCCCACAAAATATGGCCTTATATGGTACAGCACCTCCATTTTAGGATCCTGGAATTCCCATTGAATAAAGGGACGTGTTGATGTGCCTGTGACAATCTCTAGTTGGTGGTTTGGAAGCTGAATTTATATATCCATGGTAATCTGGTTGGTGGTGACTGGAACAATGGATTTTTGACTGACTTTCCATTTATATTGGGAATAATGATCCCATTTGACTTCCATATTTTTCAGAGGGGTAGGCGAAAAACCACCAACCAGCTAAGGTTTCTCCAATAATGCGCTGAACATCTCCATCTTGGCGATTGTCCCCATATGTTGCAAGTGAACCCTCCATATTGTCCTTAGGATCTAATCAGAATTATGTGGGTAAAATCCTCATTTCAGTTTGCAACATTCGCAGTAGACAGCCCATTCTGATTGGCGAAATACGCGGTACTAAGCCAAAGCCTCATATTGATTCTGGTTGGTGGTTTCAAACATGTTTTTATTTCCATAATTCCATAATATATGGGATAATCCTTCCCATTGACTTTCATATGTTTCAAGATGCTTGCAACCACCAACCAGGATTGGTGGCATGGTAATTACCCCTGAATCCACTCATGAAAAACGGCTCATTTTCCCCATTTGGCTATGGCCGTGGTGATTGGACACAACCGCCATTTCGGGACAGTTTTCCATATAGTTTCTTGATGGATGATATATTTACGTCCCATTCATATCCCTATAAGATATATTTCTTATATCACAATCTTTAACAACAGGTTTCTATGATGATAGATGGTATACCAAACCGGCTCCTCTATTTTTACCAAAAGGACATGATTCGGTTTACCCACAATTTTCTGTTTGCTAAATTGGGTTAGATCCAGCACGTCTGGACAAACCCATTGCATCAACTGTGACATGTTCTTCCCAACCATACTCAATGGGAATTTCAGGATCCTAAAATGGAGGTACTGTACCATATAAGTCCATATTTTGTGGGGATATTCCCCTATATAGACCTTATATAGGCCTTATATATGGTAGGTAGGTACTTCCAATCAATCGGTTCCTGAAATGGCCATTGATATACTGGATAGATTAATTGTCCTTGTTTTTGATGTCTGAAAATTCCCCCCAAGTCACTTGTATCCATGTATGGGAAAATTTTGGGGACATTCGGATGTGGATACCTCCAAGTAAAGATTATATCAGTTCCGGGTCGTACATGTTACATCCCCAACACACTATCCCCAGTTGCGGTTGGTTTTTAGCTTCTCCAGTTTTTTGTTTGGGACAAAGCCGATATGGGTGTGAGTCGAAGTTGAAGACTTAATCTATTGTTCGTGTATACAACTAGATAACTAAGTTGACGCACATAACTTGCTTAGTTAGCGTTTTATGGGTGTATATTCATTAATTAGCGTTTTATTGGGGTATAACTATAGTATTATAGTTATTATTAGTTATTTATAGTTAACTAATTGATGGGTTTTATAAACTAACAACATCCAGTTGATCATATAGTGTATATTATAGTTAGTTTTTTAATCTAACGACATCCAGTTCATGACCTGCAGCCCTTTTCAGCGTCAACGCATGCGATGTATTGGGCGAGCCGCCTGTGTGGCGGCGTCCCGATGCGGGGGCTTGTGGTTTCAGCACAGAATGTCGAGCCAGGCGCGGTGGGAACCCTTGAGGCCCTCATTTAACGATAAAAATGGGGGTACAACCAAAAGGGTTTTTCCTATGGTGAAATCTATGGTTAATAGTGATTAATAGTGATTCATATTGGTTACTAACCATAGATGGTTACTAACCATAGATGGTTACTAACCATTATTGGTTTTTCCTATCCCATGACGGATCCATGGTGCTGCTATATATGGTGCTCCATGGATCCCATCAATATACCCCCTTTATGTTAGCATATGTACCAGCACCATGGATCCGTCATGGGCAATGGAAAGTCCTATGGAAATGGATGATGAAAAATGGGTACCCCCATGGATTGGAAACCACCATATCGTTGTAGAATGTGTTATAGAATGTGTTTTGATTTACTGTCTGATATTGTTGATGTTTTGGCATCAACCACCACAATCTACACTATAACCTGTAGAATTGGGTATCTACAGTCTTTACTCCACATGTTTTTATATGAATTGACACATACAAATATGGTATTTACATGTAAATCGATTTACTTGGAAGTAATGTAGCATCATGTAGCATCCGTTTCATCCGTTTACCAGCTGTTTTATTCTAGGAAACCGGGTAAAATCAAGACTGACCCATATACCTACGTGGATATGCATCCCCGCTGGCTCCCGTGGTAACAGCCATACATTAGTTCACCAGGACTACATATACCCTCTGGTTATGACTAACATAGCCATAGAAAATGGCCCATTTATAGATGGTTTACCTGGGTTTACCTATTAAAAAAGGTGATTTTCCATAGCTATGTTAAATAACCAGATGGTATGGGTTGTTAAAACAGCTGTTTTTTTGGTGAACGAGCATCATCTTTGCGGTACATTTTCGGGTATCTGCAGTAGCCCGGTAGTTTTCAGTGGGTAGTTTCGATGTCAAAGTTGGTGGTTCGTGATGTGAAATATGATGAAATGGAGGATCAGGGCGATTAGAAAGTGATGTTCAACCAAATGGTTCCTAATCCGTTTCTGTCCATTTATGGGGGCTGCTTGGATGTGCATCTCACTGAGTAATTGCCAAACAAAATGATTGGGTCCCAATTTTAGCTCTTTCTGGAGATAAAACCTGCCCATCTTTTGTTACATCTATGTTTCTCTTTTCTTTTTCGATCACCTACTCTATCCCGTTACTCTTGTGTTTTGCTTTCCCTATCTGGGTAAACCACTATAGATCTGGCTAGGTCACTGACTTGCTTCGTTAAAACCCCTTGCATCCCCTTGCTGCTGGAACCCCAACTGGTTTTGTCCAAAGCGAGATTTTTTGAGTTGCCCTCAATAGGGACGTAATCGACCAGTGAAAACAGCTGTAATCATCATCACAGCAAAACAAATTGAAGAAAATCCCAATGCAGAAACCAATGACACGGCGCACCACCAAACGAAGTACTCTCAGAGTGCAAAGTGACCTTGCCAAGCCGCTTCAGACTGCGTTTTGCAGAGCTTCGAGGAGTGATCTGTTTTGGAACAACTATTCATTTTGGAAACAGTGTTCAAAGCAACAGTGTCTTGAACCTCTTTTTTTTTGAAGGCATTTCATCAGAGCGTTTTGTGGCATCAGCAAGCCATTTTCAAAGCTTGACTCTCAACGACAAGTTTCAGGGACTGCTGTCCCATTCTCTGGGCGGATACGGCCAAGTTTGCACCCCAAAACGGGACATTTGGTTCTGGATTTTGTGCCAGGAAAATTTTCAGGGACTTCTGTCCCACTATCTGGACGTATACTGCCAAAGATGTTGCCAGAGAAATATGAAGCAACAAGGGTTTAACCATGAAAAATGGAGGTTTAGCCTTTAAAATGGAGAGGGTTAATTAAGCTATTTAAGCAAAACAAAACATGGGACTGCCCTGCTTTCAGACAATCCCCAAATCCACCACTACACACGTTTGTTTGAGGTTTTGCGCGTTATTACCCCCCGGAAAGGACCAAAAAATCCCTCTATAGAGATCCACCGAAATAGTCATCAACAATCCGGGGTTTCCGTGACTGGCAATGGTGTATACCCCAAATCCACAGGTTATCATCATTTGTCCTACAGGATGGGGCTCCCCAGTTATAAGTTGGTTTATAAACCAATGTAACCCCCAGTAACTAACAGTTATATCTACCATAAACCATAGAATTCAGCCACAAAAATAAGGCAACTGAACGCTATCGAACGGGGCCCCATCCTGTATGATATTGCCATGTACGGGTTTCCCCCATTTTTGATCCCACCCATGAAAATGATTGATGATTCGTATCCCCCTATAGTAAGCATTCTATAGCTATAGGTTGATTGTACTTCCCACAGGTTCTTGGCTTTTGCACCACCCTTGGTGCTACTTAAGACTTAAACCTTCAATGATCAAAAAAGGTCATCCTTGTTTATTACTGAAATCGGCTACTTAATACCACTATCTGGGTAAACTATAACGACCTCACTGTTCTCCCGAACCCTGGAATCATAGTTTTTATAGGGAAATCATCCCCAGCCATGGCCGAACAATTCAGGTGAGTGAAATATGATGGCCTTTACCCAGATATATCTTCAATAACCAGATAATAACCATAGTAAAACCATGGTAAAACCATGGTAACACCATGGTAAAACCAGCGAAATCCCAAGTATCCCATGATATTCCTATAGCTTTGTGCATTAAATCCCATGTTGGACCCCGACGGGATGCTTTGCCTTGCTGTGGCGTCCCTGAATCCAGTACTGGGACTGTTATTCCATATACAAGGTGGTGGTGCACCATACTTAGTTAAGTTGAGTTATTACAATACCTATTAATACCATTTTTAGAGGGATGAACATCCATAAATCCCAGCTATTTTTTAATGTTCACCAGGGGTACAAGGTTTTGACCCACTGCCTTATAAGTCCAATGTCACTAGGGTTTATAGTGCAGTAGATATATTATATCAATATACTTAATAGGAGTTATAAACCCACTTGTAGCTGGGGGGGCACCACTTTGTAGTAACTTTGGATTTACTAACCTGAGACTGTTGTAAGTTATAACCCCTTAGTGTGGTGAATCCATTTTCATAAACCATCGCCAAGTAATCATCATGTTTATGTTTGCTATATCTAAACCATCCCCAGTCGCGGTAGGTTTATGGCAGCCAGTATTTTCCACATTAATTACCATATGGCCAGTTATTTTTGTACCATATTACCATATTAATTACCATATTAATTACCATATTACCATAGTTATCTTGTTTGGTTTGTTGGTGATATACCATATGGTCAGTTATATCCCTTGTTGAATATCCGCATGATATTACCAGGAAATCCCATGAACAATCCACACATGATATTCAGAACTTCTTATCCCATGAAATCCCCATGAAATCCCCATGAAATCCCCATGAAATCCCCATGAAATCCCCATGTTTGCTGGTAAAATCATCGTTTTTCTTAGTGAAATATTGTGAAATCCATATTTGATCATAAAAATATCGTGAAATATCCCATATGTTTTGCTGGTAAAATCATATTGTGAAATATTGTGAAAGCCATATTTCCAAGGATGATAAGGATGATTAACTCCTCAATGGATCGGTTTTCTTGGGAAAATCGACATGAAACAAACCAGAGATTTTCCCATGAAGATCATGGGGCTTTCCGAAGTAAAATGTCCCTTAAAGCAATCCATCAGCTCCAGCAGGTGGATTGGGCTGTGTCATTGGTGAATCATCCAGGGTTACCCTCTGGTAAACAGAAAATTATGGAAAATCACAAATTGTTCGATGGGTAAATCAACTATTTAATGGAAAACTATAGAAGATTATACTATAAATAGTTGATTTCCATTAAAACATATGGATAAACTATACTATAGTCATTGGATTAACTGGTCCCTGAATCCATTATAAATGGGTAAAACTATGGATTTCCTGTGCGCGTTGCCACAGGGTGATAGCTTCTGGCGCCTGGGTCAACTAGGAGGCGCTGCCAGCCAACGCTTGAGCCAACTGGGACAGCAGGTGGGGGTTTTGCGCGCGCATTTCTCGATGGTCTGCTGGATTTCATCACACTTTTCTATGGGATTTCTATGGGATTTTTTATAGGCTTTGACCATGAAAAATGGCTAGTTTTAAGATGGAAAAGGTGAACTTTCGTACCGTTTGAGTCCTTGAGTGATGTTGTGGTTACCCAACCTGGTTATGTCAACAGTTTGCTATTGAAGCCATGACCCAATCGAAATAGTGGATTTTCCCATGAAAAATGGTGGATCTTTCAATAGCTATTTTGACATAACCAGAGGGTACTTTTCTGTTTTGATGGTTTCATTGAAAATGGTGGTTTCAGCAAGAAAATGACCGAAAAATTGGTGTTTCATGCTCAGCATAAGAAACCAATTGGATGGGTAATGCAGAGATCTTGGGTGTGGAGCTACAAGTGTGATCTGGTTGGTGGTTTGGAACATGTTTTATTTTTCCATATATTGGGAATGTCATCATCCCAGCTGACGAACTCATATTTTTCAGAGGGGCAGGCTCAACCACCAACCAGACATTGCTTCAACCAGGAAATGATAAGCCCCGGAATGGACGTGACACGTTTGCAACAAACAGTTGCTTGAGTTGGTTGATGGGATTCACAATTAGGGTTTCAGCTCCAGCAACTGCCCTCTATTTAAACCTACAAAAAGCTATTGAAGCCATGGCCCATTTAGTTCGCTGATTTAGCCACTAATAGCATGGTGATTTTCCAGTTCGTTTTCTGTATGTTTACCAGGCCGGGTACCTTTTTTCTGAATCGATTCAGCAGCATTTTTCTGTCTCTGGGAGACTCCCCAAAGTACCCTCTGGTAAACTAACATAGCTATTGAAAATGGCCATAGAAATAGTAGATTTTCCCATGAAAAATGGTGATTTTCCATGGTTTTTTGTATGTTGACCAGGCCGGGTATGGCCAAAGACTGAACGAAACTGTTGAAAAAAACCTCCGTCGACGAAACCGGTTGGGAGTTCCTGAGACAATGCCAACCGATGGGACGAGCATCCGATGGGACGATTACCACAGCAGATTGTTGAATCAAAAATATGGATACCCTCTGGTGAACTAACATAGCAATGGAAAATGGCCATTTATAGTGGATTTTCCAATTAAAAATTGTGATTTTCCATTGCTATGTTAGTTCACCAGAGGGTAAGTCACCCTTATGGATTACCTGATTACCATCCAAAAAATATTAGGATAAGTCATGATAAGTCAGCAATATGGATGAGCATATCCCAAATATTATTAGGATAAGTCGGATAAGTCTCCCTGATGTGTAGCCAAAGGTGTTGATTCAACTGATGTAGCTGTCAGCCGCTGCCACTGAGTTGCACGACCATAGGCTAGGACGAGTCAAAACCAAGTCTCTGCGCTAGGGTGAAAGCCATGGTCAAAGTCAAGGAAGAAATACTCAAATGGTAATGTTTCGTAAACCCTCTAAAGTCCATAAACATTCACATAAACATTCATTAACAGCCATAAACAGCCATGAACCATAGTAATCATATGTAATTAATCATAGTCTAAAATATACCAGTGGGTGTGGAAACTGCCAGACATCCCAGACATCCAGGTGGGACAAGCCATCAATGACACCGCCATGCGACCATGCCACTGGGACCACGAAGAATGGAGCAAAAACGACCCTCCAGTAAACTTACATAGCTACGGAAAATCACCCTTTTATATAGGTAGATCAACTATGAAACTGGCTATGTTCAATAGCTTTTTGTATGATTACCGGAGGGCACCAAAAATGGGAAGATAATAATATCTAATAATAAGATATAATAATATGTAATTTTAATGACCAAAAAATAATCAAACATGTGTAATGATTATATTATTACATATTATTACCAACAATGACCCCAAAAATGAATAATATGCAATAATACTGTAATAATACATTATTTATATACTGGTTGGTGGTTTGGAACATGTTTTTTTTTCCATATATTGGGCATAATAATCCCAACTGACTTTCATATGTTTCACAGGGGTAGGTATACCACCAACCAGTATAAGCATATATTCAATGGATTGGTTTAAGGGAAAATCTCCAGGAAACCATAGATTTTCCCATGAAATATGGAGGGTTCCTGTAAATTTTCCCTTAAACCAATCCATTGACATATAATTTGCTTGAATCTAATGTAGAGAAAAAGATTAAACTGGAAGATATGGAAACTTCAGCACGGTTTACATGTAATAATTATACAATGTGAGGCCCCCCAGTGATGTTTGTTGGTTAACAAAAGCCCCAGTAACTATACGTAGTTGTAAATACCATAAACCATAGTTATTGGACTTATAAACCAACTTAGCTATCTTGGGGGCCTCACATTGTACGTGATAATACGTGACATAATCCACCAGAAATGGGATGTAATCGGGAGTACTTTTTTTTACATAGCCTCCAAGACTGCAAACCCAAGACATGAGCATAGAACCTTTAAAATGAACAAACATAGGGGGCATAGTCCAGATTATTTCCAGACTACATGATTTTTTGAACATGTCGTTCACATCCTCCGCGAGCATTAATGATTATCCCACTTGGCGGAGAAAAGCCGAAGATAAGGACTCCAGTCCAGTGGTTGCCCACAAGTGAATTGGTCCATCTTCAACTTCTCATGCTGGGTGGTGATACATTCTGCTAGCCAATATAGCAATGGCCATTTCAGGAACCTCAATTGGAGGTACCTACCATATGTAAGGCCTATTTTTCAGGCCTTAATTTCAGGGAATATCCGGCAAAATATGGCCTGAAATATGGTACTAACATACCTCCATCAATTGGATCCTGAAGATCTCCCATTGATTTTGTCGCAATGCTGGCTTCCCAGTATTCTTGCGGAGATCTGGGTCGAAAATTTGGTCGAAAATTTGGATTCGAGATACTCAAAGTGATGAGAGTGCCATCTGAATGTGTAGTGTACTTGGTGGCGAACTACCCACGAATCGTAAGTGGGTTAGTTCACCCCAGTTATAAATGGGATAAGTAGGGTTAATCCACTTATAACTGGGGTTATAACCCACTTAATTACGAAGTGGGATGAGCCACCAAGTAGTCCTTTGAGCCTTAAATTAAAACCAGTCTTCAAATGTCTACATCATTTTGTCATTCATTTTGTCTATGGTTACTGGTTGGAACTCCACTCCTTTCTGGCCAAACGAACCATCATCCCTCTTAGTATGCGGTTCAGTGGATTATCCCATTTCTAACTTGGTGAACTAGCCCCAGTTACCAACCACTTCCTCGGCTCAATCCTGGACGAAATTCCAATAAACCAGCATTTCCCTTGGTTCTCCCAATGAAATCCTATAGTCATAAACCATATGGTATGATAGTCCTTATTGTCCTCATACCTATAGATATTTCCCATCATAAACCATAGATATCATAGATATATGATGGCCATGAAAAAATCCCAGTGAATTCCACACCTTTTTTCTGCGGTGCGCAGGGTTGCGAACTCCCAGACGTTGGCTGAGGCGTTGCCTGCGGCCAGCCGTACGTGCGTGCGGGGATGATGACATGTACGGAATGCAGCTTGTTTGTGGTGAACCTTGGTGGAGGGTAAACCGGTGTTTTTTTGTATGTTTTGGGGGTACCCGGCCTGGTCAACATACAAAAAGCTATGGAAAGATCCACCATTTTTAATGGGAAAATCCACTATTTCTATGGCCATTTTCAATAGCGAACTGTTAAATTACCAGAGGGTATCAATTTGAATGGATTAGGCACAATTACTTGAAATGGATAGAAAGTACAGATTCAAAGCCTGCTAAAAGGGGTTAAACAGATGGGTCCAGAAATGGGGTGTATAAATGATTATAAAGCCAGTACCCAGCTGGAAATTATATCATGTGCCGGGGGGTATCTAAGATTTGACATTCAAACACTCAAGACTCCCCAAATTGCATCAAATTGCATGGTTCGGTAGCTTGGATGAACAATCCATGGCAATTACCCTCTGGTAATTTGTTACAGTTTGCTATTGAAAATGACCCAGTCGATATAGTGGATTTACCCATTGATAGCATGGTGATTTTCCATAGTTATGTAAACGTCTACCGGAGGGTATGAGAGCTGGAAGGTGCTGAGAAAAGTCTTCAGAGATTCCACCAACATATCTGCCATGCGGCCTCCCTATTGATGGACTGATACATCAGTACAATTAACACCAAGATTCATCACACATTGGTGAAGCATGGTGAACCTGTAGCTATTTGAAGCCAAGTCGATAGCTTGGAGATGTTGTTTCTTGGAGATAGCCTCTGGTAAACATACAAAAAGCTATTGAAAATGGACCATTTATAGGTGATTTACCTATTCAAATAGTGATTTTCCAGTTCGCTTTTTGTATGTTTACCAGGCCGGGTAGCTGAAAAAGCGCCTGTTGATATCGTAATTTGCGCCACCTAAAGGAAGCACTCGAAGATGGGCCAATGTCTGCTCCGCGGTTTCAACCAAGGTCATCAGCTGGCGTGTCTCTCGGATGAGAGTTTCCACTGGAAACCAACTGGATTTTATAACCATCCAACCGATGGTGTTTAGCATCAAAATCCTGAAGGTTATGGTGAGATATGGTGAGATAAATGATGGTTCATGGCTTATGAACATTTATGAACTACTTGTAGGGGGTGTAGGGCTGTTGTACTTGCTGTAGTGTGGGCAACCCAATGCCAGAAACAACTACCATGACTGGGACGCTTGAACTCCCAGCCATACAAATGGTGATTTGATGTGATTTGGGGATTGCGTATTACTGCATTACTAAAATATGATCGGAACCAATTATTTTACCGGGGGATATAGCTAGTTGTAACCAATATAGCTGGTTTAGATTCTGACTTCAGTAATCCTGGGGAATTACAAGGATTACAGAAGGGTCTTCCAAGATCGATAGGTTTCTGTTGGCTTATAGCTGGGCCAATGGATTTATGGTGGGGAAAAATTCCACAGTTGGATGGATAATTTGATAGACCTGTTTTTGGAAGCCAAAAATCTTGCGAGGGACGCCACTGAAAAAGAGCTGCGACAACTTTTTTTTTGTGATTATGATGTACATGATGGCGCCCCCCAGTGATGTTTGTTGGTTTATAAACCCCATGAACTAGTTCGTTATATCTGCCACAAACCATAGTTATGAGAGTTATTGGCACCAACTTAGCTAACCAAAGCGTGATTCCATGGCGTTGTTCAGTGATTCCATGGTGAGAATTGGATGACAACCATGCTGATTCTCCAATACTGTCCCATGATTCAATACCTCGAATGTTCCCCATTTAAAAAGGCCATAAATTACAAGGTGGTGCCCCATAGTTAGCTAAGTTGGTTTATAACTCTCATAACTATGGTTTATGGCAGATATAACTATAGTTAATGGGGTTTATAAACCAACTTATAACTGAGGGGCACCATCCTGTAGCCTGTGGTAAACATTTACAGTTTGCGAACTGGAAGCCATGGCCCGTAGAAATAGAATGAAATAGATGGTTTAGCCATTTTCATAGCATGGTGATTTTCCAGTTTGCGAACTGTGAAATTACCAGAGGCTAGCAATGATGTACCAGAGGATGTGGGATGTACCAGATCATTCCTTTAAATTTCCTCATTGTTCTGCTCACTCCCGCCATGAATTTTTGTTAATGTCTATTGGGAATAAGTCTATCATTCTGAATGATAAACCCATGTGCTGTTGGTTGTAACATGTTATATCCAACTGATATCCATGTGAACATTCTATTCTATTCCACAAATCAATGGGAATTTCAGGATCCTAAAATGGAGGTACTGTACCATATAAGGCCATATTTTGTGGGGATATTCCCTTACATAGGCCTTATATTATATAGGCCTTATATATGGTAGGTACCTCCAATCAATCGGTTCCTGAGATGGCCAGTGAATAAAGCTGAAAAATCATCGTAGCACCACAGCATGATTTTTCGTTACCACCAACATGGCCGCTGACATCTCCATGAAGTTTTCAGTTTCCATGTACTCTCTGGTTATGACTAACAGTTTGCCATGGAAAATCACCATTTTTAATAGGTAAACCATATGGGCTTTGCGTGGAGCTTTGGTCCACAGCCTGGTTGTCGCCATGAACCTGGTGCCCATTTTGCACAACAACTTGACGATATCTCTCAGGTGTGAAGTGGGTCTCTGCGGGTTCCTTCTTCTGGACATCTGCAAAATGCTTGCAGATGAGCTCTGTCTTGCAATGCGTCTACCAAGGGGGTCTTGCTTCCTTGCTCCCCAAACCCAAGCAAATTTGCAGGGGGTGGCTTTGAGTGGAATCTTGATTTGCCTCACAAAGGACCCAGAGTTTTCACCATGGCGTTACGGTCACAACCGATTGACGGAGCTTCCCATCGAACAGCATTTCTCGTACTTACGGCAACAATCGCCAAACTCCCAGCTCACATCCAGAAGTTTCTGGCAAGCAGCGTGCAGAGTGTCTCTGAGGAGGGCTATTTCTGTGGGCCATTTTCCATGGCTATGTTAAATTACCAGAGGGTATACATATTATCTCCAAGATTTACATGTTGCATTCACATGTACCTTGACCCTCCAAGTACCCTTGACAAATGGGGTTTTACCCCATGATTTCAGTACTTTGCCACCATTTTTGGGCGGCCATCGGTCGATTCCGGCTCCACAGGTCGAAATTGCTGGGAGGTCGCTTCCTTCCACGGTCCTGCCGCACCGTCGTCTCAGAAGCCTCTTGTTTCGAAGTGGGATCGGATGATCTGGATCAAAGGCTTGGGAGTTTTATCCAAAACGTATGGAAAAACCTTATAAGATTTGTAAGATCGGCAAAATCATAGGGAACATGATGGGAAAACATGGTGTGCCTGGTTGGTGGTTTCAAACATTTGGATGATTTTCCATAATATATGGGATAATCCTTCCCATTGACTAATATTTTTCAGAGGGGTAGGTCAACCACCAATCAGGTGCATTGCCTTTATCCTGCACCAGATGCTACTCGTTGTCATCTCAACTGGGGATGTCGCATCAGGTGAGATCAAGGAAGGATAAGCCGCCGTGGTTTCCTGGATGAACCGTTCAAAAACCATAGGTATATGGTGGATATAATTAGATTAATTATAGGTATAAAGTGATTTCAAAGTGGATAATTTGGATAATTGATTATAGTGGATGTTTAACCGGGGGTTATCAACATTAGATTAATTCATAGGTATAAAGTGGATAAATAGTAATGACGTCCTTTATAACCAAAACCCGCAGAAATCCTAGGGTGTCAAAAATACGCGAGCTTTTCCGACAAAAATGCGTATGGCTGCTGCTATTAGCCATTACACTATCGGCCGCATTTTGATGGAGGATGTGCAGTCTGCTAGCAGCACAATTGAGAAAGCACATCAACAGATGCAAAAGCTGCCTTGGCTTCCAGCACCTATACTAGCGGAGCTTGATCGTACCAAGAGCCAAGTTGCCGCCCTTCATCGAGAAGTGCACTGCTACCAAGAAACTCTGATACGAGAAGTTGAAGACTCACAGAAGGATCTCCTTGTTCATCCTTGCTCCCAACGCAGCGACAGCATCTCACCAGAAGAGAAGACTGAGCCTCAGTCCAACCCCAATATGGAATGGTAGGACTGTGTGTCATCGTGAGCGTTACCTGCTGATGCCGACCAAATTATATGGCTGGTAGGGTTTTTTGTCTTCTGGTAATGTGATTTGTGTCACAGGGACCTCCCTTGGACCAGATTGATATCCGTGTCAAATGATCATACTTGGCATGCTTCTGAAAGTACGGGTTAGGTAAGGGTTTGGTACGGGTTAGTACAGGTTAAGTACGGGTAAAGTACGGGTTAAGTACGGGTTAGGTACGGGTTAGGTACGGTTCAAAATCAATACCCGAGGTCTTCAATCGAAAGCCCGGGTTTTCTTATTTTTTCCGAAATACCTCAGGTTCTTGTGCTGACCCGAGGAATTCTCAGGGTTTTGGTTTTCCAGGTTGGTGTATAGCTTGAATTTCTGGTAAACTTGACACAGCTGAAAACACAAGATCCCCTGGCTGTCTACAAATTTATCCTCTGGTTAACCAACATAGCTTGGAGTTTCACCATGTTACCATGTTTAATTAGTAGGTAAATCAACGAAGTACCCTCTGGTAAACTAACATAGCTATTGAACATGGCCATAGAAATAGTGGATTTACCCATTGAAAATGGTGATTTTCCATAGTTGTTTGATTGTTTGTATGTTTACCAGAGGGTAAATGGCCATGTTCAATAGCAAACGGCAACAAATCACCGGCCGAAAATAGGCTGAAATCTTCGGTTGAACCGAGGGGCCTCGTTGGAGCAAGGATTCTTTGCAAGGGATGTATGCCTTTGGTGAGGAAGAGGACCACCGGGACCACCGGACCGGCGGTGGATAGGGATCGTTGTTTTTTTTTTAAATGGGCAGAGTTACCCTCTGGTAATTTAACATAGCTATGGAAAGATCCACCATTTTTAATGGGAAAATCCACTATTTCTATGGCCATTTTCAATAGCTACGTTAAATTACCAGAGGGTAAAATGCGGGAATTCAATATGGCTAGAAAATCCCTGAACTCAATGGAGGCTTAGTTCGCTGAGAAAATCATCGAAGCAAGTAGAAAAGTTTTGTCAGTTCAATGCCCAGCAGGTAGATGGGCAGATTTCACAGACAAGGAATGATCAACGGGATAGATATAATATGTACGTATATATATAATGGGATGTGTATTGGATTGTTATTCCAGTGTCAAAGATACCGATAATCATACTTTTTCACGTGCGAACAATGATAAATCAGATTTGTGTTGATAGTCTGGTTCAACAAAAACAGTACCTTAGGGGAAAGGTGATGATAATTCATTTCAATGGCCATTTCAGGATCCTAGATTGGAGGTACCTACCATATATAAGGCCTATGTAAGGCCTATGTAAGGGAATATCCCCACAAAATATGGCCTTATATGGTACAGTACCTCCATTTTAGGATACTGGAATTCCCATTGATCACTGGAATTGTATATATACATATACACATATACATAATTACCTACAGCATATGTTTCTGCTTGATTCTTTCAAATATGTTTAATGTTCCACCAAATGACTGGGATGGTGATTCCCAATGACGAGCATATTTCTCAGCTGGGTTGAAACCAAGTTACTCTTCAATAAATATTAAATGTTGCCAAAACGATATGGAAAACCTACTGGAAATGCAGATCATGTTCCTAATCCGGAAAGCCATGGATGTTCATATATCATCATATATCTATGTTACTTTGCGGTCAGATAAGCAAAAGGTGATGGATTACATGAAAAATGGTGAGACATCGAAGATGGACCCTACCTACACCCCATCCACTTGCTCTATCTTTAGCAAGTCACCAATGGAAGTAGATGGGTTGATCTGAAGTAGACACGACACCCCATGGGTGCCCAAAATTCCCATATCATCATATGTTTCGTAGAAGAAGATGCAAATTTAATATCCACATAAAGTGGATCTTTATGGGCATCCCACATTTTGATACACATCCACATCATATTGTTGGTTATATTCGGTTTAATAATTATATATCTCATTATATCCTATGTTTCCCCGTTTTTTTTGCATGTCATGGCTGCTGCGTCTTCCCCCTATTGTTGGTTGCTCAAGTATCTTTTTTATCGCTGGTTTCATCCAATTCGCTGCGTAGCTTGCAGCTTGAATTTACCATGGAAAAAATGGATTAATGATGAAATCCCCATCTAAACTTAATCTGGGTAAATTATAACGACCTCACTGCGACCTCACTGGAATCATGGTCAATAAGGGGAATCATCCCCAAATGGCCTTAATTCAGGTTAGTGAAATATTATGTTTTACCCAGATTAATGGTTGGATGAAGTTTCCAAATTATATAATGGTTGCAAATTAATGTGTGTTGCTTAAAAAATGATGGCCAGCTTAAATCCTATCTGATGGAAATCACCATTTTAAGGGTGGAATCCGGTCGCTGGTGACATCGCACAGATACTCCGACGAAAATGTGCAGCTCCGCTTGACACGTACGGAGGTGTGGCAGCGAAATTCCAAGGATTATGGGTGGATAATGATGGTTCGTGACAACAATTTTCCACGTGGGTTATGAACTAGAAAATTGGTGATATATTTACTGGGTCAATCGACTGGATGGATACAAACTGATCCTAACTAGTCTTTTGGTATCAATGGGAATATCTACGTTCACCAGCAAAGAATTTGGTCCATTTTTTGCACGGTATCTAAGATTGGCAACGTTCCCATCCAATCCCTGAAAATTGTGAGTTTTTGTTTGGGTGGATAATGCTACCCTCTGGTAAACGTTTACAAAAAACGAACTGGAAAATCACCATGTTCAATGGGGAAATCCACTATTTCGATTGGGCCATTTTCAATAGCTATGTTAGTTTACCGGATGGTAAAATTGTTTGGAGTAGTAACCACTCAAAATTCAGCCAACTTAGCAGGGGAGCTGGGGACCATAGTGACAGAGACGTGTCTTGGATAGTCGTATTTTGACCAAAAAAATACCAACAAAAATGTGTGTGTGTGTTCTTTCCCATCATGAATTGGGAGCTCAATACCATGAAATTCTTGCATCAAATTCTTGTGCGATGTCCATGTGCAGTAGCCTGCACAAAACGTAGCAACCGGATGCCACTGCGGCCGCTGCCACCACACCGTCGTCCTGCAGCACATATAGGGCGACGTCTCCAGGTGCCCATGGTGGTTTCAAGCATTCTGAGACTGCTGAGATGGCTGAGATGTTCCATGTTGGACCTGACTTATGGCGAGGTCAATGGGGGTCGTAGCGAATATTCCTTCTGATTGCTGTGGGGGTTAAGACTGTTCTGATTAAGGTTTGTGTAGAAACCTGCAATCCCCCAAAATCCCCGCGGAAGTGGAGAAAATGATGATACCCTCCAGTAATCAAGCATTGCGATCGGAAATCCCCTATAAGTGGAGGTTTGAATGGAAACATCGCCTAGAGATGGTGGATGTTCATTGCCCACCTTGGATTACCCCAGGGTAAACCATGGGATTGGGGAGGTCCTAATGTTGATAAAATCCCAATGTTTTACTTGGGCAAATCACCCACTAGCAGTCATTTGCTTGATCATTTGACTTTCTCTGAAAATGATCCGGCTTGTTTTCCCAAGTCATATTACCCTTCAGTAAACTAACATAGCTATGGACCATCCCCATTTATAGATGATTTAGCTATTAAACATGGAAATTGTCCATAGCTATATTAGCTTACCAATGGGTACGAGTGCCGCTGTAAAAATGCCAGAAATTTTGGGCCGTTTCCCAACGCCGAAGGACTGGTTTGACGGTTTGACCAACTCCCCTGCAGGCTTTCTTGATGAGTCAACTGGAACCTTTTACTTATGATCCTGAGACTCTTGGCTACAGCTGGCTCCCTGGGTCATCCTGGGTCATAGAAATTATCCCAGTCATCAAACATTGGGATTTCATGATTTCATGGGAAAATGGGTGCTTTACTGGGAAGCATCTTGCTGTGTAGATCACAAAAAGGAGGGTCATCCCACCATGAGTTGTGGTTACTCAACACGAAGAGCACGCACGAATCCATCCAATTCATTTGGGTTAAATGCACATTCGATCCCAATTCTTTTTGGTTAAATCCGCATGAGATCTCCTTTTGTTTGCTTATGTTTGGCTAAATCGCCATTAAACCTCAGTTTCTTTTGGTTCAATCACAAGGTTTATCCAGTTTATTGTACTTTACACGCCATGAAACCTCATGAAATCTCATGATCGGACAGGAGCAAGTTAGAGCAGACCCTTCGGCTGAGCGGGCACGTGATGCAAGGCATACTGGAGATGATGGACAGTGAAACCACATCTGACAGGGGGGCCCAACACAAAACCACAAGACCAGCCAAAATGATCGTGAAGGATGTTGAAGGGATCAAATATGTGGTTTTGATTTCCGATGCAGGGATGCAACTGGTTTGGAAACCTGAAAACGGGTAGACAACCAACAAAAACACACAGATTAAAACAAGATAAAGATAAAGACCAAAAGCCCACAAAGCACGAGAAAAAATCACGCGAAACATGGGTAGGGAAAGGTGAAGAACTATAGCAAGAAATGGGTTTTTCAGCCAGTTAAGAGTCTGCACTAACAGGTCACGTGGCATTCAGCAGGTGTTGGTCGCTGCTGTTTCTGGGGAACTCCCGAGGATTAGTGGCTTCGACTCGATTCTGTACACAAGTATAATACAATTTACCCTCTGGTAAACATACAAAAACAATGGAAAATCACCATGCTATTAATGGGTTCACCATGCTATTAATGGGTTAATATGGCTTAATCAATTATTTTTATGGCCATTTTCAATAGCTTTTTGTATGTTTACCAGAGGGTAATACATCATAAATACATTTGTTCAAGGATTAGTTATCAGTGGGAACATTACCCGATAATGAGTCTGGTTGGAATTTTGGAACTACTGTAGAAGTTGCATGGGATGCTAAGATCAAAATCCCCACGGTTGGTGAACCGGCTTTTTCCCTGACACTTCCGCTGTAAACAAACATCGACCAAGGTTATGAGAAGGTGTATCCCCCCCAAAATGTTGAGAGATTCCCCAGTAAAGCAACATAGAAAGTGAAAAATCCACAATTTGCAAGTCATTTCTACCGAAAACCATGGTTCTTTGTATGTTCACTGGATATTGGCACGCACAAAAATCTAGATGAAATCCAAATCGCTTCCGACGAAGGCTTGAAGAAGTTTTCCAGCTTCATACCATTCTCCCAAGCCGCCTGATGGCAAGATGATCGGAAAACCCACTGGGCACAGAGGGATTAGGGTGCTTTGTTCAAAGATGGGAGTCATCCAAAATGGGAATCCTGGTCCATACTGGGTCCATGAATCCCTGGCCATGAATTGATCCACCAATAATGACGGGATATGACGGGTATATCTTCCAACTGTTGAGCATGGCACGTATACTTTCATACAAACTAACCTTTTTCTTACATGTGATACCCTCTGGTAAACTGACATAACTATGGAAAATCACTGTTTTTAATGGGAAAATCAACTATTTCTATGGCCATTTTCATTAGGGAACTGTTAAATTACCAGAGGGTACTTGGAGGAATATATATAGTTCCCGCTGAAAAAACAAGTGTTTGCAGGGACTCCAAGATTTGTCGTGACAGCGACTCAATTGCTGGAAAGAAAGCTTCGCCTGGGTTCCCATCATTTGGAGGGCAGACATGCCATGGAAGGGAGTGTTGGAACCTTTCTCAAACACTTGTCTGGTTGGTGGTTTGGAACATTTTTAATTTTCCCCAATAGTTCGGATGATGATCCAATCTGACTAATATTTTTCAGAGGGGTAGGTATACCACCAACCAGTTGTAGTGTGGGACGAAAAAATGGGGATACGATCCAATGCTGTCATCAATTCTGTGTTGGAGCTGCGAAAATCAGTGTAGCATTGCATAAAGTATATACGCAATCTGTAGCGATGAGAAATCTTTCCACATCTTGGTAGTTGCCGAAAGCCGAGAGTCTCGCTTGGCACCGAAGAATCATGGGCCATTGAGGCAGCTTACTTGGTGGCTCATCCCACTTAGTAAGTGGGTTAGTTCACCCCAGTGATAAATGGGATAAGTAGGGTTAATCCACTTATAACTGGGGTTAATATCCCACTTACTAAGTGGGATGAGCCACCAGGTACCTGGTTCAGATGGTGGTAGATTTTTCTGAAGGGGACTCCTGATATGACCTGACATGACCTTATGAAGACATCCAGCAAGGGATATTTGTGAACCAAGCATTTCAGTACCCGTGGGTTTGTTTAGTCGGTGATTAAACTAGTTTTGCCAATGGGAAATCCACCCTGACTGGGCAATCTGTTGTGGGAATATGTTTGTTTTTTTGGGGGGAAATCCGAAGTTCGCAAAATATGTGTGTGTTCAGGATTGCAACCAAGCAACACTAACCCCAGTTGTTATTGGAAGTGGCAGAACAGAAATATTGCGGTTGCGAAAAAATCCTGCACCATCTTGGATGGTTGACACCTCATAAATAGATTATGAATAGTGGGATTCACAACCTATCAGCTGGTGCAGGATTTCGCAACCATCCACAGTATTGTACCCTCTGGTAATTTAACATAGCTATTGAAAATGGCCATAGAAATAGTGAATTTACCCATTGAAAATGGTGGATCTTTCCATAGTTATGTAAACGTTTACCAGAGGGTATCTTGTACTGCCGTGCGGCTGGCCATACCGGCCATACCCGATTTTTTTTTCGAGGCCGCTCAAGCCATCGAAGCTGGCTACTACCTAGTGAGGCGTAAGAACTTGGTGGAAATTTACCATGGAAATTGACATGGAAATGGGCTTCACTGGTGAGAATATATGGTGTTTAAATGTGATTTAATGAGTTTCAATGGTGATTTAATTGGCTTCAATAATGGTACAACGGGTTGAATGGCGATTTCATGGGATTTAACGGTGATTTAGTGAGATTTAATGGTGATTTAATGGGATTTTTCACGGGGTTTCATGTTCAAAACCTTTGTTGGTTGATGATGAGTTCTGGGATTATACTATTCTATCAATCTGTTGATGGGAAAATATGCAGACATATGGAATGCGCGTATCCATATGGGATGATGTTAGACAAAGCCACAGGTGAAATTGAAGGAGGCTGTCCCCTATTTCATGCAATTTCATGCAATTTCAATGGGAAAAGAGTGCCATTTCGTCCCCATGGAATTTAGTAGTTTTCCTCAAAATCGTCTTAGCATTCAACTCGGACTTTTTTAGTTGTTCTCAAAATTTCGACAGAAATTTGTTTTCCTCAATATTCTCCTCAACTTGTCAACTTGGATGTGAATCGCAATTCGCAATTCGTTGTCGGAGAAGAACCGGGATTCTGCAACCAGGTACTTGTCGGTGAGGCTCCCCCGGTGACAAGTTGTTTTTTTAACCCCATTCACTATAGCCGAAGAATCTCCCCTATAACCCCAACAGTTCACCAAGGTAGTTCTGTGCATCAACTGATATCATAAATCAGCTACAAATCCCATGAAATTTCCCATTTCTTCGTGAAGTATGGCTACCCTCTGGTAAATTTTCACAGTTCGCTATTGAACATGGTGATTTGCAGTTGATTTACCTATTTTTTTCATGGCCATCTAAGTAACATAACTATGGAAATCACCCATTTTTCATGGGTAAATCCACTATCAATGGCCATGTTCAATAGCTATTTTGACATAACCAGAGGCTAAATCAGGTGAAATCACCCGTTTCTGATGGTTTTCGACAAAGGGTGTCACAGACTCCCCAGACTCCAACGCAGGTACGGTCCTTTGATTCTGGCAGGGAATGATATTATGGATCCTTGGAGAAAGTGTCTTTTTTGAGGTCGTGGTTCAACATGGTTCAACTTTAATGTGATAGACTTGGCATGACTTGGGTAGATAAATTAGAATCCATAGTTTTAATTAATGTGTATGTATCTAGTATCTACCATAGCAAAATTAACTAATTAACTATAGATCATCATAGATAAGTATACCTACCATGGTAGATCAGCGGTAGATATATCTATGATATTTTTGCGTATCTATGATCGTTTTCATGGACTTTGTACACCAGCTTCATGGGAGCGAAATATAAGGCAAGACATCCGGGAAATATTAAGGAACTAATAGGGAGATGAAGGGAGATGATAAGAGGATACCCAAAATGGTAAACGTTTACAGTTTGCGAACTGGAAGCCGTGGCCATTGAAATAGTGGATTTACCCATTGTTAGAAAATGCTGATTTTCCATAGTTGTGTTAATTTACCAGAGGGTAATGGTTGGATCATTATGGATCATTATGGGATAGACAAGGATATATCCACAAGGATTTTATGGTGATAAAGCGTAATAACTCAAAATTGGAATGGGAGAAGGCACATCGAACTAAATGATGGAATTGTCCATTGCCGTGTTTGATGAATCGGAGGCTAGTTGACAATTACAGTAAATAATTGTCATTGCAGTACCTGTTTCATTGCACACATGCTAAGGCCAAACATAAGATGTTTTCCGAAAATTATCAGACAAACAATCAGATATAACCTTTTTGCCAAACAATCATCACCATTGCCATACCAAATCCCATTTTCATTCCACAAACCCGGGCATCATCATGGCAATGGTAAAAGGGGAAAGTTTTTAGTTTCAGGGTTCCCCCAGATGGTTTTGGTGCTGCAGATTGACTGATCATGAGTCAATTGGCAATGTGTTAAACCATTCCATGCAATGTTTGATTCACTATATCTTAGAATCATACGGCCCACATTGGCCAAGAGTCGAGGTTTCTTAAAATAGTGGGGTACGCCTAGTTATCATCCAGCTATTATTTTTGGATGTTCCATGAAATAAACCATGCAGCGATTTTTAGGGGTACCCCCCCTATTCTTGTCGCTTCAATCCCCATGGTCGAGTTCAATGCCTGCTGCTTGGTGGTGACTGGAACATGAATGGATTGCCCTCTGGTAAACTAACATAGCTATTGAAAATGGCCATTTATAGTGGATTCACCCATTAAAAATTATGACTTTCCATTTCATAAAAAAGGGATGTCATCCTTCCCATTGACCAACTCCATCATTTTTCAGAGGGGTAGGTCAACCACCAACCAGGTTGTGTTGTTTTTTGATTTCTGTCCTGGCAATCAATTGTGATACTGGGAAATGGCCTGGAAAATGCATGATTTTCCATTCAAACCTCCATCAGCAGGGGTAGGTATACCACCAACCAGCCTGTTACTTGAACATATTCCATCGACAGTACCCAAAGGGGTATCCGTGGACGTCGAGATGGCCATGCTTTTCGTTGGCGCCAGACTTTTCCGGACAGATGAAGCGATTCTCACGCCGGACTGGGCCAAATGAATGCATTATCTGCGTCTACAATGCAGCCGAAAGGGAGTTCTTTTGGTCGAACAGAGCTTACGCGGCTGGCAGAAAGAGCTACAATGAGAGGGTGAAACGGTCCATGTCGACAACGGGGACGACCTGGTCCAGGCGATGGTGTCGAAGAGAGGAAGGGGGATGAATCTTTTGTTGGAGCAGTGGTCGAGTTTACTCACTGCTGTCGAGCATGGCTTCATTTCCCGTGGGCTTCATGGTCGACCGTCCGAAGGCCAAATATGTGGTTCAGAATTTGTTAATTCTGAGGGGGCGGAACAAATTCTGAGACGTTTTTTTTGTTTAACCTATATATAGTTATTTAACTCGATCTTGATTGTAATCTCGGTGAGAAATTCTTATCCTGGTAAATCTCACCACCGCCACCACCACAACCAACACCAGCATCAGCATCAGCATCATATTCATCATCATTATCATCATCAGCATCAATTTTCCATTTTTCAATTTGTTTCATCAGCATCATCATCATCATCAGCATCAATCTAATCATCACCATCATCATCATCATCACAAGCATCAACATAATCACCCAGCATTATCATCCCGCATCATCATCCCGCATCATTATCCAGCATCATCATCCAGCAGAATCATCCTGCATCATCATACAGCATCATCATCCAGCATCACCATCATCATCATCATCATCATCACCATTATCATGCAGCACCATCATCATCATCATCATCATCATCATCATCATCATCTTCATCATCATCATCATCATCATCATCATCATCGCAATCATCACCATCATCATCATCATCATCATCATCACCATCACCATCATCCAGCATCATCATCCAGCATCATCTTCCAGCATCATCATCCAGCATCATCATCATCATCATCATCATCATCATCATCATCCAGCATCATCATCATCCAGCATCATCATCATCATCATCATCATCCAGCATCATCATCCAGCATCATCATCCAGCATCACCATCAACATCACCATCACCATCATCATCATCATCACCATCGCCATCGCCATCATCATCATCATCATCACCATCATCATCATTATCCAGCATCATCATCATCCAGCATCATCATCCAGCATCATCATCATCATCATCACCATCATTATCATCATCACAATCAACAACATAATCATCCATCATTATCGTCCCGCATTATCAACATCATCATCGTCATCATCATCATCACCATCATCATCATCATCATCACGGCAACTGACCAAACTCGCCATGGTCATCATCACATCCATGGCCCCGTGGCTGATGTCCTAGGAATCTTTTCAGCTGATCTTGGGTCTCGCGAAGAAATTGGAGTCGCTGGGAGAAGCACAGGGGACTGAGGATGAGTGTGGGAAGTAGACGGGAACAACCCAAGTAGCTGGGTCGTCCGAGCAAACCAAGTGGTGATTTGGGTGGTTTGATACTTGCATATGTATGGATCTTCAGCGAATGCTCCAACAGAGTATGACCAGGTGTCAGAAATGACGCAGGGCATGGATGACCTTGCCACGGTATATGCCAAATTTGATAATCTAATTGCCGCAGTAAGTCTTGCTGGTGAGGCACAGCAATCAGGTTTTGAAGAATTGCGAATGGGTCAACATGACCTGGCAGATACCCTGGCCACGACCACTGCGACATTGGCGTCCATGACTGGTGTGTCCGCAGTGGGAGTTGGGGGTACTTCCAGCTACGCAAAAGCGATTAGTGCGGGCTCTACCGTCGCACATGAGACGCAGGTCCAGCTTACACCCTATGGGCAGTAAGTCGACCATCCAACCTGTGCCCCCGTGAACCAAGAGTGTGTGACCCTGAAATGGAACCACTCAGTTGTACAACTCGAACCAACCCAGAATATCCCAGAATTACAATTGTTGCAGAGTATTTAAGCCTGCCGTAGCTAGGTCAAAGTTCAGACCAAACCCATTGATGCCGGTGGATGCTGACCATGCTAAGGATGTAAGATGGTGTAAGCATCAAAGTTTTGAAGCCCAGTTTTGAACCCAAAATTTCGTGCCAGCCTAACATGTGCCGGCGGGTGCCTGTCAGTTTTAGTCGAAAACCACCCAGGTCAATTTCAAGTCATGGTTGATGCAACCCGTGGATGATCCAATTGAACTTAGGATGGTTAACGGAGAATGGTTCGAAACTGGTGCATCCGGTTTGATTGGGACCTGGCGCGATAGGGCCCGCTTCCTATATCTGTTTAACTTCAGCGACTCGCTCGCGCCATATCGGAGCTGCCCGCAATGCGCTTGTCTGGAACAGCTGTAGCTGGGATCGCGCGACATTGTCCAGCAGCAGTGGCCTTGAGGCATTTTGTTGTGAAACACCTCTGTTGACATAGCTTGGCACGTCTCAGCATGCCTGAGCTACTTTTTAAAGCGAACTGCCAAGAACATGGCGAGGTGACTGGGTCAAAAGCGCAAAGCAAAATAAGAGAGTTGCAGCAACAAAGGATGGCTGGAACCAGACGTGCAAAATGCAGCTGGGGCTTCCATATGAGAGCCATTGGGTATCGTCCTGAACCGCAATGAAACATAACGAAACAATTTGGAAAAATAAAAGCAGCAAACTCAATTTTGCCAGACAGAGAAGGATTCAAGAACCAAGCAGCCCTCGCCGGGTAAATAAACAAAATACTTGCTGTTTGATTGATTACTCCTCACTTGAAGTTGGATGGTGGCGGGCCGTTAGGGGTCATTCTCCGAAAGTTTCTGCAAGAAACCAGATCCATTGCCAGTAAAAACAAATTTCTGAATTCGTTCCTTTTACGTATTTGCGCCGCTCGCTGGGGAACGACTACCAGTGTAAGAAGAATGTCGATTCATGATGAGCCTTGCTTTCGGGATGTCTTGAGTTTGTGAAACTGAACATTCAATCCAAGCAAAGGGCCGAATTTTACCAAGTTAGGACATGTAATATATGTTATTTGTGATTGATCGTGCTTGAAAGGAACTCATATAAGACCCTCGAACCGACTCGAACCCCCATGTTGACTGATTGGTAGACCAGTTTCAACCCCATGTACTATTACAAGAGCTTTGGTCTCATAGATTGAGATCTGTTGTATTCCAACCCACGCCAGGGATTGTGTTTTCTGAAATGGACTATTGTGCGATATTGTGCGGGCATGGGATGGCGTCTAACCACTGTTGAATCCGTTTTTGTTTCATTTGTGAACTATTGTGAACCATATCCGTTTCTCTTGTTTGTTTTGGGCATTTTTATACTGTTTGCTTCGCGCAACAAAAGCACGGCAAGGAAACATTGGTGACTTGCTGTTTGTCCATCGCCAGCCTAAAGTACCAGAAGGTTCTTGGATTTGGTGAAACAGTCCAACACTTCAACCATGGTCGGTTGAACCCGCAATTTGTTGGTGAACCCCCTGTTCTCTCCTGGTTGTTCGCCAATCGACAATCATTGTCGTTTCCCCGTTGTTTCCACATGCGTTCGCCCGCTTCCAGCTACCTCTTACATTTGAACATGTTTACGGTGCCCTTCAGAGGTGGCATGAGTTCCCGATTTTTCCGTTAATTTGCACACACACACACACAAAACAATCAAAACACATACTTGAACACCTATCAAAATGTCAAGTGTTCAACGAACAACAAGAATCTAATGAACAAAAAATGTAAATTTTAAGTCTGGGATTGAAGAGGGAACTAGAATTTGGTAGAGTTTTTGGTTTTTGGTGTAGCAATAGCAAGATTAGTTCAGATCGATTCATGAGGAAGTTTGCATGGTCGAAGACAAGTCTCCAACCATTGCCGTACAGCATGATTGTCACCAACATTTTCATTTGAAATCAAGTTACCATTTTCTTGTTGGTAAAATTTTCAGCTGATTGGCAAGATCGACATGATTGTTTAAAGGTCATTGGTTGTGGGTCAAAACCCTATCTATGTTGTCGGAACGTTCGCTTTTGTTGGTTGAATACGTTTTATTCTCGTATTTTCCAGATATTATATCATTTTGTTGTTTGACTCCTCAATTATTTTGTATATATTGTGTATTGCTGCAGTTGATGTTTTTTAATGTACGCTGTTTGAATCCCCAAGTTTGATTGTCCCATCCTCATCTTTTTGTTTTTGTCTGGAAATCACCTGATAGCTGAAACCGAATTGTTGATGTTTAAAACCTCATGTTTGTTGTTTCCAATTCACATTTTTGATGAATGAATGCCCATCGTTGATGCTTAACCCCCATTTCATCTCTGTTTTGTACACATTTTTGATGGAAATGAATGCCAATTTTTCATGCTGAAACCACCATCTCTGCCTTGTACAATCATGTTTCATGGGTTGAATCCCCATCATTGATGCTAAACGTAGGGTGGCTGGGTTGCTGGGGGTTGCTGGGATCTGCTTGAGAGTTAGCCAGTGGATCATTCCTTCCTACGTTTAGTAGAGGTAAGTTAATTTTGGAAAACCCACCATTTTTAATGGGTAAATCAACGAACTAAATAGCCATGTTCAATAGCAAACTGTTGAATTCCCAGAGGAATTTATCCCAGTTCTGCTACTCAAACGAAGTCGGCACTAAAATTTTTAAAAGTCGCCGATCTCAGGCTGCCAGCCTATCATCGACTGGGATCCCCGGACTTCTTTGGTGGACTTTATTACAGCAGCCCGGCGGGTCGAAGAAAATGGATGGATCAATTTCATGACAGCCTGGCAGCCCTGGAGGATTATCCCACTTAGTAATTGGTTCATATGTTCTAATATAATTTTAGTTCATAGTCCAGTTATCTGGGTAAATTTGATCACGACCTCACTGTTCTCCCTCACTGGAATCATGGTTAGATTGTGGGGAATCATCCCAAAATGGCCGAACAATTCAGGTTAGTGAATTATTGTAATTTACACAGATGAATAAATTTCATGACAACTGGGTGGGTATGTGCTATTTTATATTTTTAAATGGGTGGATAACTGTTTTTTTGGGGGGTAGGGCGGGAAAGGGGTCTTAAAATTGGTGGATAAACATAGATGGCCTTTTTCTTTTGGTTGATTAGTATAGGGGTTTGACCAAACCCTTTCAAGAACAGGTAAATGATGATCGTTTTTATTGTGGGGGTAGGGTAGGTTTTTTTTTTTAACCCATTTAAATGGGTTGACAATTTTCATGATAACCGGGTGGATCTATGCAAATTTAAGTTATTTTATAATTTTGAATGTGTGGATAGTTAATGATAACTATAGCATTACAGGTTGAGTACTAGGGCTATAGTTGAATAGTTATCACTATATGATTCCCCCAGCATTGTAGCGATCTATAATTTTACAGGTGGATAATTTATGGCACTATAGATCACTGTAGTATATTATTCTATCTATTGAAATGTCCCTATCGAAATCGGCTCTAGGATGACTATGAATTTTGGGGTGTGTCACGATTTGGCTGAAAAATAGCAGGTTTGCTCCCGTCCATCACAGATAAATGATAGCCGCAAGGAGGCCTGAGGTGTTGGCAGCAACCCTGAATGAATGTGTAACCAAATTCACCAACAAATGGGAATGTAATGGGATATATCACCAACTGATAAGGAGGTATTACCATATATATATATATATAGATCCATATAGGATAAATGGTGATCTAATTCAGTAAAATGGTTGTACAAGAAGGGTAAAATGAGACGTGATAGGGTGGCCAATGGGATGTGATTGCCGCTTTGTCCGGTCAAAAACCCAACCGGCCGTATAAGACTGAAAAAAAGGGTACCCTCCGGTGTTCACGTGGCGGGCAGCAGGAAACTCCCCCCAAACTCCGGTAAACCAACAGTTTGCTATTGAAAATGGCCATAGAAGCAGGAAACTCCCCCCAAACTCCGGTAAACCAACAGTTTGCTATTGAAAATGGCCATAGAAATAGTTGATTTTCCCATAAAAAATGTTGATTTCCCATAGTTTTTTGTATGTTTACCAGAGGGTAAATGGAGGTTTGCTGGGAAAATAATCGCACTAAACGGGTTGTTTTCCAGCAAGCCATGTTTGACCAGAGGGTTGTTTGGTCTGTCCAAACAAGGATTGTTACTGTAAAGCCTCAGTTTCCCCAGAAAAAAGGATGCCCGAAGCTAGCAATTATTCCAGCTGCAAATTTTGCCACCCCATACTGGAAGTCATTTCTTCTGGGAATTACGGGGATGGGAACCAAAAAAAGTGTGGATTTAGCCAAGAACTGTGGAATAATCCGGTAAAATCTAGCACTGTTTTCCAGGTTCGTTTTCAGCGAACCATTGGCCAGTAGAACCTGTCATGATAATCACCCATGTGTAGTGTCGTGGGTAGAAAGCATGAAGCATTATTGCTGTTAGATTTTCAGGAAGCCGACTCTTTTTCAGGTCGTTTTTGAGTTTGGGGATGAGTCAAAATTGAAAACCTAGTGAAAACCTATTATTACCATATATTTGTGGAATAATCATCCATTAACCAGCTGTTTTAGGGTACCATCCGGGTGCCGGGATGTTGACTCATGGCCAGTTTGGAAAGGATGGTTGACCTCCATGAGGTCCATGAACTCCCACTCACCAGGTTCCAACATACTGTGGATGGGCCAGCGAAATCCTGCGCCAGTTGATAGATGGTTTACCCTCTGGTAAACATGCACAAAACTATAGAAAATCACCATTTTTCATGGGAAAATCCACTATTTCTATAGCCATTTTCAATAGCTATGTTAAATTACCAGAGGGTAGATGGTTTATCCAATGATTTCTAGGGTCTCAACCATCCTGGATTGGTGGTTTATCGGATTTCGCTGGCTCCACAGTATGGAAGGTCTTTTCCCCAGACTTCACATCTCATGTGGGTTTTTTAGAGGCGAAATAAACCATCGGATGGTTGCAGGGGGGATCCGTAAACAGAGACATTTTGAGACATTTTGCATCCACTGATTCTGGCAGGGAATGATATTATCTGGCTGGTGGTTTGGAACATGTGGATTATTGTTCCATATATTGGGAAGAATAATCCCCACTGACGAACTCCATCATTTTTCAGAGGGGTAGGTATACCACCAACCAGTTATGGATCCTTGTGGAGTCAGACATTCACATCATCACATCATTTCAAGTGAAGTCATAGCTCTCTTTTTTGGATTTGGGATATGTCAATGGCCATTTCAGGAACCTAAATTGGGGGTACCTACCATATATAAGGCCTATGTAAGGCCTATGTAAGGGAATATCCCCACAAAATATGGCCTTATATGGTACAGCACCTCCAATTTAGGATCCTGAAATTCCTATTGAGTATGGCTTAAACTCTTCAGCCCCCCTTAATGGATGGCTTAACCATAACACATCCTACATGTAACATGACCCAAGCGCAAAGCCGCAAGGTATGGGAGAACATTGGGGACAGAGAGGTGTGGGATATGATGAGATGCATTGCAGAACCAACAATATGATGTGTACACTATGCATGTATATATGCATGTGTATATATGTAAATGGATATACAATATTTATATATATGTATATACCCATTCTTTGGTTGAAAAAAATATGGTTTCCTGCACCATTTCCCAACACAACCAATCCACTGACTGGTAATTTCATCAAGGGCAATGGGACACCTTAACATGCTCGAGAGGTAAATCTTTCAAACAACAAATCCATCGACATGTTTCTTACCAGAAGATAGACTGGTTGGGGGGTTCAAGATATGTCTCTCTTTTTTCGACGATACTTGGGATGATTGGTTGAGATGCTGAATATGTCTTGGATTGGTTAAACCACCAACCAATAGGTTTTCCGGGCTGGAGCTGAACACTCTTTTTCCAAAATCCAAGAGTCTCATGTGGGTAAACCTCAAGTGGAAGGTGCGCCGGATAAATCCCACAGGAACAATGGACTGGCGCTTTGACAGTTTGTGGACTGGTTCCAGTATGGCTCGAAACTTGCAGAACCTCAACCCACTAGCCTTAGTATACCCTTCCACAATCAAACATGGCAATGGGAAATCCCCTACAAATGGAGGTTCTAATGGGAAATCATCTAGAAATGGAGGCTTTTGGGCACGTCCCAACACTTGATAACTTGAAGAACCAACGCTAAAGCACCGGACCAACATGGAATGGTCAACATAGGTATAGGGTGCGAACTTGGAGTACGGATGCTGGGGACTGGTAGCACAATCGATTCGGAGGCTCGCCTTGTACTAAATTGGGTAACACATTAATTACTATACGTTGTATATAGAATTATATCCATGTTACATCCTATAAATCCCATGATATAATTACCCATGATATCCCCATTATATTGCCATTATATTAGCCTCATTTCAGCTTCCCTCGAACACGGGCGGCTTCGCGGCTTCGCATAGGACGGGTGCCTGAGATGGAAACCGCACAGCACACCGTGGATGGTGAGGCGATCCGTGTCTTTGAAGGCAAAAGCAGGTGTGTTTGTAACAATACTCTGGTATCTTCAAGGGTATGTTCCTCGCTCAAAGTTGCCTGGTCAAAATCTCATGAGAATCTCACATGTTCATGTTTTTCTTGAGCTGAACTCATTGTTTTGTTGGGCCAAATTTAGTTTTATCCTGCTTAAGACTAGGCTCCCCCACTCTTGAAATTTCTGAAATTCCATCAAACCAATTTGCATGTGGAATTCTAAAGGGACCCCCCCAAGTAATTTTGTTCACCCCATTCATGAAAGTTGATGTTGATGTAAATAAATACGCAGCCATCACCTGGATATTGTGAACCATTTCTCAAGTCTAGAATCCAATCCATCGGAATATATAGGAGGAAACTCCAATGTTTAAGAGGGAAAAGAAAGCGAGATAGATGTTCCCTAAATATTCCCTAACAGGATGTTTATAGATGTTCTCTAAGCACTCCAATGTTTATAGATGTTCCCTTAAAGGATGAATGTGGTTAGAACAATGTCATAAATCACCCATGACTGGGAATGGTAAACATACCACCTTAAAAAATGGTGATGACTGGGGAATGGTAAACATGATATTGTTTTAACCGCATTATCTGATTGGTGGTTTCAAACATTTTTTCCATTTCATATATGGGATAATCCTTCCCATTGACGAACTCATATTTTTCAAGATGGGAATAAAACCACCAACCAGAAAAAGTCATGGCAGTGGGAGATGGTTATAGATGGTTATTTCAAGATGGTTATTGCACCACCAACCAGTTATAATGTTTGCACCTGATTAAAGAGATGGTACCCTATTGTGAGAAATTTCTTGCTCCTAATTCAGTCACATGCCAATTGTTGGGGGGGGGCCTCTATTGTGAGATTTTTTTCCAGATTTGTTTTTTTTCTAAAAAAAATATTTTTTTCCAAATGCTTTAATTAACTTTACTTTTCTTTTTAATTATTTTTCTATTTATGATTATTTTTTATTAATTTTATTTTAGATGCCTTATCAAACCCTTATTAAAAAAACAGCATCCAGACAATTTTTCAAAGGGGTACCTCATGAGTGGCTCAGTTACTCAATAATATAATTGTTTGGATGGTACTCTATTGTGAGCACCAACTTTTTGGAGTGAAAAAAAAACAAAACCCTTTCTCCACCTTTCTTTGGGTAAAGCTGGTCCTTTTACTTTAGAAAGCCATATTTATGTTAAAGCTTTAAAATGCAAGGTTTTCCAAATAATTAGATGCCTTATTAAACCCTTATTAAAAAACAGCACTCAGACAATTTTTCAAGGGTGTACCTCATGAGTGGCTCAGTTACTCAATAATATAATTGTTTGGATGGTACTCTATTGTGAGCACCAACTTTTGGGATTGAAAAAAAAACAAAACCCTTTCTCCACCTTTCTTTGGGTAAAGCTGGCCCTTTCACTTTAGAAAGCCATAGTTGTGTTAAAGCTTTAAAATGCAAGGTTTTCCAAATAATTAGATGCCTTATTAAACCCTTATTAAAAAACAGCATCCAGACAATTTTTCAAAGGGGTACCTCATGAGTGGCTCAGTTACTCAATAATATAATTGTCTGGATGGTACTCTATTGTGAGCACCAACTTTTGGGAGTGAAAAAAAAAGCAAAACCCTTTCTCCACCTTTCTTTGGGTAAAGCTGGCCCCTTTACTGTAGAAAGCCATATTTGTGTTAAAGCTTTAAAATGCAAGGTTTTCCAAATAATTAGATGCCTTATTAAACCCTTATTAAAAAACAGCACTCAGACAATTTTTCAAGGGGGTACCTCATGAGTGGCTCAGTTACTCAATAATATAATTGTTTGGATGGTACTCTATTGTGAGCACCAACTTTTTGGAGTGAAAAAAAAGCAAAACCCTTTCTCCACCTTTCTTTGGGTAAAGCTGGCCCTTTCACTTTAGAAAGCCATAGTTGTGTTAAAGCTTTAAAATGCAAGGTTTCCCAAATAATTAGATGCCTTATTAAACCCTTATTAAAAAACAGCATCCAGACAATTTTTCAAAGGGGTACCCCATGAGTGGCTCAGTTACTCAATAATATAATTGTTTGGATGGTACTCTATTGTGAGCACCAACTTTTGGGAGTGAAAAAAAAAACTTTTCTTCACCTTTCTTTGGGTAAAGCTGATGCCTTTACTTTAGAAAGCCATATTTGTGTTAAAACTAAAATGCAAGGTTTTCCAAATAATTAGATGCCTTATTAAATCCTTATTAAAAAACAGCACCCAGACAATTTTTCAAGGGGATACCTCATGATTGGCTCAGTTACTCAATAATATAATTGTTTGGATGGTACTCTATTGTGAGCACCAACTTTTGGGAGTGAAAAAAAAACAAAACCCTTTCTCCACCTTTCTTTGAGTAAATCTGGTGCCTTTACTTTAGAAAGCCATATTTGTGTTAAAGCTTTAAAATGTAGAGTTTTCTCAATAATTAGATGCCTTATTAAACCCTTATTAAAAAACAGCACCCAGACATTTTTTCAAGGGGATACCTCATGATTGGCTCAGTTACTCAATAATATAATTGTTTGGATGGTACTCTATTGTGAGCACCAACTTTTGGGAGTGAAAAAAAAAACCTTTCTCCACCTTTCTTTGGGTAAAGCTGGTCCTTTTACTTTAGAAAGCCATATTTGTGTTAAAGCTTTAAAATGCAAGGTTTTCCAAATAATTAGATGCCTTATTAAACCCTTATTAAAAAACAGCATCCAGACAATTTTTCAAGGGGGTACCTCATGAGTGGCTCAGTTACTCAATAATATAATTGTTTGGATGGTACTCTATTGTGAGCACCAACTTTTGGGAGTGAACAAAAAATAAAAGTAAATTAAAAGTAAATTGAAATCAATTGAAAGTAAATTGAAAGTAAATTAAAAGTAAATTGAAATCAAAAGTAAATTGAAAGTAAATTAAAAGTAAATTTAAAGTAAATTAAAAGTAAATTGAAAGTAAATTGGAAGTAAATTGAAATCAATTGAAAGTAAATTAAAAGTAAATTGAAATCAATTGAAAGTAAATTGAAAGTAAATTAAAAGTAAATTAAAAGTAAATTGAAAGTAAATTGAAAGTAAATTGAAATCAATTGAAAAATTGAAAGTAAATTAAAAGTAAATTGAAATCAATTGAAAGTAAATTGAAAGTAAATTAAAAGTAAATTAAAAGTAAATTGAAAGTAAATTGAAAGTAAATTGAAATCAATTGAAAGTAAATTGAAATCCTTTCTTAAGTTGATTGACCAAAAAAATGTTGAGGGGGGTGGCAAAAAAAAGTGCGAGTTATAGAGTATCCTCCAATAAATTGTTTGGGGGGGGGCCCTCACACTAATCAGATGCAAACATTAGGTTGGTATTACAGGTTCCCAATTTTCCAACTCAACATTGATAGTCATATCTATAACTCATCGGGTTGTCAATAAAAACGACCAGTTCTTAATCAGTATCCATTCCACAATATGAAGGAATAATGATCATTCCTTCAATGTTTGAGAGGGAAAAAACAAGGTAGATGTTCCCTAAACATTCCCTAAAAGGATGTTTGTAGATGTTCCCGAAACACTCTAATGTTTATAGATGTTCCCTTAAAGGACTGTTCACCAGTCCATCAAAGATCTCGCGCTCCGGAAAGGTGCCAGAGGTGGATCGTGGGCAGTTGCTAATGCTGCGACACCTCACACGACTCTTGCTGGTGTCCAAGGTGCTGGAACTGGTGGAATTTCGCGCAGGTTTCATGAAAAATTGGGGATTTCATGGGAAACACTCTGGAAAAAATGGTGATTTATTGGGATTTAAATTGATTTAATGAGATTTAGTCGATGACTTTTTACTTGGAGGATCGTCCTATGACCAGTTTTAAGCGGTTACTTTTTCAGGGGGGAATGGCTACCATAGGGGACATTACTAATCAGGGATATTAACCAATCGAAATCCCCATCATCCTCAGAGAAGTCAAAATGGCGACCAGGGGTAGGAAAAGACAAGCTCCCGAAGAAAGGTATAATGCCACAGGGGAAACGATGGAGGAGAACAAGATTCACTGAGAAGGAAGAAGTGACCAAAAGCTTCTACAGCCAACCCGCCTACATGTACGAGATCGGAGATCGAGAAGAGGGTGGACCATTTTTGGTGAACGGTATCGAAGTCCATCCCCCAGATCAAGGTGTAAAGAACCGTCAAGAGCTCGACGCCCTTGTGGAGCGAGCAGCCGAGGAGTCTCCACCTGTATTACCTTCAATTCAGGAGCTGAATGCAGTGAACCCCAGAAGTGATGATGCTTACCAGAGATGGATACAACAAGAAAGAGGACAACATGGTAACAACTGGAACTTTAGATATCTTCAACCATTCACTTACGGCATCGACATCGGCACCCTTCAGATGGCCCGCATCAATGGAGAAGAGTATGTTGGTTAACTTGAAAGTTCACAGGTAAACCCAATGTACTTTCATGCATGTATAGCATCCTTCCTTTCCGGTCATAACCTCATGGACATGCCAACAATGTTTGGCTCAAGACGCACATGAAAAGTGCGCTGCCCTTTCAAACCCCTGTTAATCTTTTTCTTGGGTTTTGTGGTTGTGGCTGTTTAAACCCCAATTCAATTGGTTATCAGCCGTATTGGCTCTGTTTGTCATTGGTGTTTCTTAAGGGGATCACTTTTGATTGAGGGTTTGGGGTCCCTGTAAAATCCCTCGCTCATGAGTCACCGCTCGCGTTCCCCGAGTCAGCGTCGTCGCACTCCCGGGATTCGTGGCGGGCCTGCTGCAAGGCGTCGTCGGTTGGCTTACATTGACCACCGCCTTGCAGAGGGAGAGATCTGGGATAATATTCCCGTTCACCACGCGGGTGGACAAGCAAGACCGTTGTTCACTTCGCGCTATTGGTCTCCGACTAGGTCAGAGGAGTCAGAGCAGGACTTGATTGGGGGTGAAGCTGAAGAAGAAGTAGTGAATCTTGAAGTTTCATCATCTGAGGGAGAGGAAGTCATCCGATTAACTCAGCCAATTCAACCTGTGTATCTTGCTCCACGTCCAAAGCCTGCAGCTGCGAAGGTGGACATTGGTGGTCCAGCTCATCGTGCGAGGATTCTTGCAGCGGATCCTTCATCATCGAGTTCTGGGCAGCGGCCACCTGAGCCATCAAGGCCACCATCAGGGTTTTTGGCTCGCTTGGGCCCACGTGAGCCTGAGGGGCCCCCACCAAGTCGGCTGCAAAGGCCCCCTGAGCCGAAGGAGCCACCTGCACGACGTTCACCACAACAGCTCTTGAATTCACAAGACCTCCCTGGTGTACGCGTTTGGCGTGTGGGCGCTGATCATTCTCCTCGCGAAGTGTCCCTGGAGCAAGTGCCGATTTGCACTGGTCGCCTGATCTCAATAGACTGGCACCAAGTGACGGATACTTGCCGTTACTCAGCCAGGAATTTTGTGAAGGCCTCAGACAGTGGGCAAGTCCCAAGGGACGTGGCTTCTTTGTACGCCAAAGCGCATCGACGAAAGAGACCAATTGATTATCTCATAATTCTGAGCCATATCGAAAGATCCGAAAGTAACTTGCATCGTGTCCTTCAAGGAACTCGTCAATCTCAATTGCCTGTGGACTGCATCTTCATCACAGAAAGCCGCTGTAGGGCAGGAGGGAAGACAGAGGTTGCACAAAATTTGTTGCATAGTCTTGATTTGAGAGACCGAGCTTGTCTTTTCGACGATAATCTTGAGGTGCCTGAAGAATTTTGTGAGGCAGGCGGAACTCTTTTTCACGTCAAGAAGCCTAGCCTGAGAGGTGCAGTTCCACGACACTGTGATACGCACTCAGATCGTTGCAAGTCAGCGTGGAACGCAGCTCAGCACATTTTTGACTTCAATCGGTTCATTGCCAAAGACAGGTAGTGATTTCACACGTGCCTGCCTGGCTGCTTTTAAGCGCCGCAGGATTTCAAGCATCCGTTTTCGAAGTCGTCAGTTGTTTTGAGTATCACTGCGCAGTTTTAATTCAATTGCTTCGGAGGTAGTGGATTTCAGGTGAACAGCCCAAGTGATCAGGCCGAGTGTCACTGCTTTGTGTCACCGCGTCTTGCAAGCTGTTTCATCGCAAAGAAGTTTCACTGCGTCATCTTTGAATTCATTTTCTTCTTTTCATTGGCGTGCACGTGGAGTTTCACTGCGGTAGAAGTTTCACTGCGTCAAGACCAATTTCATTGGATTGTCATTGCAACTGCGTTTGATTGGCACTTTGCCATTGCAGTCCGATTTCTTGGCATTTTGCCATTGTACCATTGAATTTTTGCATTCGTGCCTCTCAGTGACAGGTTGCAACCAAGCGCCTCCTGAGTAGTACCGACCAATTGGATTTTTGTCCTTTGTCAGTCTTAACCTCCATATTTCATGTCAAGTTCCGATCCTATATCGAATCTTGAAAGTTTGAATATCAGTAGTGAATCAATGGATGTCCCAGCTGTTGTTGGTGAAGCATCTCAAAGATCCAGTAGAAGCGCGTCGTCGACTCCCCGGCGTGCCAGTTCCAAAACAACCCAGGGTGGCGGTTCAGGAAGAAAGCCAGTGTCCACTATCATGAAGGCGTTGCCCAGAGCATCCCAAAGCCGTGGTCCTTCTTCATCCCACCGGGGTCAGGGTTCGGTTGGTGTTGATATTCCAGTTGAAGTTCATCATCATCAGGAATTCCATGCACACGATGATAGAACCCAAACGGTCACTATGGGTGTTGATCCTGTTGAGTATGGTAGAATGGTAGGTGAAGCCCAAAGACTTTTAGATGAGTCCAAAAGCCGAGCTGATCATTTTGAGGGTTTATCAAAAGAAATTTAGTCTCAAGCCTGCCAACAAGTTCAGAAACTTATGACGATTGCCCAACAACTTCACCAGTCTTGTATTGAGAAAGATGAGTCCTTGCAGAAGCTGTCTTTCGAAGTTCAGAGGGTGAAGGTTCAACTTCAGGATCAGATTTCTATCAATCATGACGTGATGGCGCAGTTTGATTCAGCAAAATCCCAAACCCAGATGCTTTTAGGTCATAAAGATTCTGAAATCTCCCGATTGTTTGTCCGAAGTGTCCAACTTGAGTTCTGACAAGACCCGGCTTGAGGAGAGATTGGCAGCCCTAAGCGCCGCTCCCTCATCCGGACCAGCTCCAATGCAGGCGCCGAGGAATTCTGGTGAAGCTGAGTCGCATGGCCTTTCATTGCATGATGTTCAAGCTGCAGTGTCATCTCAACTTGCACCTGTTTTAGAAGCCTTTCAAGAGCTTTCAGGTCGCATGATGTCATATGAAAACAACATGAGCCGAAATTATACGGAAACACCCCAAACTTCACAGCCACCACAAGCTCGTTTGACTTTACCTGTGCCTTTGCCAGACAGTCAGATCTTGTTGGAGGAACAGTTGATCCACCAGGCGGGGATGATGAAGGATGGGGAAATGATGACGATGATGAAGCTGAGGAAGAGTTGATTGTTGACCCCACTCCAAAAACAGAGCGTGACATGGTTGATGGTCGTGCTCTCCAACATGCAAAGTTAGATGTCATCCCCTCCAATGCTTCAGAATTTCGGGCGTGGAAAAACTCAATCATTTTGTTGTTCGGCCGCCTGGATATTTCTGAAGAGGATGTTCTTACCAAGTGGTTGGCTCAATCCTTTCAAATTGGCTGTGAAACGGTTGTTCAAGAATCCTCCGGACAGTTTCCAAGACTGGACAGATGGCTGGCTGCCGAGTTAATCAAGGGCTTGAAACAACTGCCGGAGTTGCAATTTAAGGTCCAGGGTTACATCGAGAGGTGCACACGTGAAGCCACTGCTCCGCGGGGCCGAGCGATCCTGCATATGATCTCTCGTCATTTCGATCTCGACCGTCACAGGGGAGCTTTGCTGACTTCCCAAAGTGTTTTCCAGATTGATTTGCCAGGTTACGCTGTCAAGGACCTTCAAGAATTTTCGAGCCAGATCATGAGAACACTCAATGCCATTCCATCGCAAGATTGGCCCAGTAAGAGGATGTTAGGAGAAATTTTGTTCCATAAACTTCGCACTGTTCGTAGGCTTGAAAGGGTCATTCATGAAATCAAAAGATCACCAGAAAATTCCAGCATGAGGGACTTCGATTATCTTTGGGGACGTTTGCAAGAGTTCTTGGTTAAAGAGCGTGAGGACGTTAATGCCAGGTTCATAGAACTTTCACTCAAGAGCCCAAAGAAGTCGTCTGCTCCAAAGGCTGGAACACCGGCCGTGCTTGCGAAAGCTGCTCCAGCGACACAGCCCAATGTTGCTGCTGCAGTTGGAGCTCCCGCTCCTCCGAAAGCTGCTGCGAAGAAAGCTGGGGCAAAGTCTCCACCAAAAGGAAAATCAAAGGGAACAGGAAAGTCTCTGACGCCGGCCGAAAAGGCCAAAACCCCATGCATTTTTCATCAGATGCCATCAGGTTGCATTCATGGTGCAAAGTGCCAGTATTCACATGCCAAAGCCCCACCTCCAAAGAAGTCGAAGCCCGATACTAAGTCTAAGCCCAAAGCTGCGTCCATGCCCAAAGTCCCAGCTGCTGTCGCAATCATTGCGGCACTGAGTTCAATGATTGTCCCATCACAATCTTCAGGTACACTTGAGTGGTGTGCAGACACTGGAGCAGGGCGTCATTTGACCTCCTTTGAGGCATTGAGTAGCCAGGGTTTTCAGTATGATGCGGTG